CCCCTTCCCCGGGGCCGTGGGGAGCATTTCCAGGCAGGACCCTGCTATTCCCAGGGAGCAGGAAGGTTGAGGGCACTGCTGGTACTCACCTTGATGTTCCTGCCCCCCAGCATGACTGAGTTCATCTGCTCCAGGGCCAGCTGGGCGGCCTCGGGCACCTCGTACTCCACGAAGGCAAAGCCCTGGCACGGGAGGAGACTGTGAATCCCCCCGGGCCAGGCTGATGCAGCCAGGGCTTCCCACAGAGCCCCCCCTGTGGAACTGACCCCCACCACGCTGGCTCCTGCTCGTGGCCTCAGAAGATTCCTCGGAGCAGGTTTTTATCAGGGCAAAAAAGGGCCTGCAGAGATCCCACCAAGGGCACCCGACCCCGGAGCCTCCTGGACTCAGAGGAAAACCCCACAGCAAAGCCCCACCTCACCCAGGGCTGGGCCTGGTTGGCCCCTTCCAGGGAGCTTCAGGTTGGACACCAGGAGGAATCTTTCTTCCTGGAAAGGGCTGTTAAACATGGGCAGGGGCTGCCCAGGGAGGTGGGGGAGTCCCCATCCCTGGAGGTGCCCATGGAGAGACTGGAGGTGGCACTCAGTGCTCTGGGCTGGGGACAAGGTGGGCGTTGGGCACAGGGTGGGTGTGATGACCTGGGAGCTCCTTTCCAGCCTCAGTGACCCCGGGATTCCCTGCACCCCTCCCCAGGCTCCCAGCACAGAATCCTGCCCCAGGGAGAGCAGGGAGCTGCAGACATTCACCCCAGGAGCTAAAAGCAGCACAGAGGCCCTTCCCTCTCCTGGCTGCGTCAGGAAGGCCTTGGACACAAGAGGACACACATCCCTCGAGGGCTGGGAATCATGGAATGGTTTGGGATGGAGGGACCTTAAAGATCATCCAGCCCCACCCCCTGCCATGGGCAGGGACACTTTCCACTGTCCCAGGTTGCTCCAAGCCCCGTCCAACCTGGCCTGGGACACTTCCAGGGATCCAGGGGCAGCCACAGCTTCTCTGGGCAACCTGTGCCAGGGCCTGCCCACCCTCCCAGGGAAGGATTCCTTCCCAGTATCCCATCCAAGCTGGATACTTTGTGCTTAGGGATACGTGGCCGAGAGAAACAACCTTGTGGGAACCCCCAGAACGCCCCATCCCCGGGGCATCAGCACCAGCTGCTGCTGCCACACGGGAAG